GAAAATACAAAATGGGAAAAAATTAGAAACAATACAGAATTTTTGAAAAATATATTAAATAGGGGCCAGGGAGATGGCTCAGTAAAATAAGTGCTTGCCTGGCAAGCTCAAGGGACTGAGTTCAATCCCCAGTTCCGCCAAAAAATAAAAATAAAAAATTAAATACTGGTTTTGTTCCTTATCTCATAGTTTAAATATTTGCGGGTTATGTGGCTCCAGTTCTTCCATTTGTAGCCCACTGATTGAACTCATGGTGACTTGCTTCCGTGTGTGTTCTGAGGTGGACGAATCAGTTCACACGCCTTACACTCTCCTCTGATGGTAGGGACTGGTTGGTTTTCTAGGTGTACCCTGGGAATAACCAGCAGCGGGAATGAGGGAAAAATAGACAAGAGACAGGATCTGGGTTCAGGGGGAGGTGTGTTGGCCTCACTGACAAACAACCCAAACAACCACAGAGGGGCGTTTGTTTACACCCTTGCAAACTTAGTATCAGGAGACACAAGGTTCCCTGGAGACTAATCGGTGAAATTAACCAGGCAGGATGACTGCTTTAGGCCCCGAGGCCTCATCCTGCGCTGTTTGCCTGCATTTCTGCAGAGGGCATCCCTTCTCTGCGGAGCCCATCTCGTGGACAGCTCTCGCAGTCCACTCTAAGGCTTTGCCTCTCAGTTCTGTTTTGATCCTCAGAGGTAGAGTGAGCTCTCCCACCAGCCCGTATGAGACTCACGCTGTAGTGATGTTCCCAGGAGAGACACTGGGTGTGCTCCCCGACCACCACAGCAGGAGCCCTGGAGCACGCAGCCCTGCTGACAGCAGCCCATTGGTTTCTTCCAGCCCATTTGGAGGATGGTTTTTTCACAATCATGGATTTCAGAGTTGGTTCACGTTTAGCCCCTCCCAGGTTGCCCTGGGCTGGAGTTCACATTTCAGTGTCTGCTTGTGAAGTGCCGGCTTTGCAGCATCCTCAGCCAGGCTTGCATATGTGTCTACCATACCCTGCTTCGTCTGTATTCTTGGTATGCAAGGATTCCATTTCTAATTACAGCAGTGTTTATTTTATTAATAAGCATTGGTAGCTTGAGGGTTCTCAAGTGTGTCCGTCTTCCACAAAACTGGAACAAAGCATAACATTTTTATTTATGGCTCATGAATCAAACCAGAATCTAGGAGCATTAGAAAAATGAAAGAAATTTGAGCTCTGACTTAAAAGAAAAATGGGTGTAAAATAAGAGTGGATCTGTTGGTATTATCAGAGTTTCAGTCCAGGAATAGTGAACTGCTGAAGATATCATATGAAGCAAAATGTAACAAATCCTGCCTGCTAACTGCACAGAGCCCTGCTAACCTTCTGTGCAAGACTCACACCGCAGCGTAGCATGCTACTAAAACCGTAATAGAGCTATAGAAAGTTACAGTGGAAGAATCACTCCTTTTGCCTAGATGAGCCCAAGATGAATTTGTTGCATATCAACTATATTTTAAATAATTTTTATGTTATGAAAAACTAAAACAAGATTCCATAGAAAATAATAAGAGAATAACAATACTTAGAACATTGTATGTTGTTATAGTCAAAGTGGTTACTCAGAGTACAAGATATAGACTAAGAAGTCTTTCAAAGAAGAAACAACAGAATAACATAAAATTTTCTTTTCAGTGAACTAAGATAAATTAGTAGTATAAATGAAACAAATATGCATATATATGTAAATATTTTTGAAACAATATGATAGGTAATTTGGGGAAGTATTTGAACTCCTACTTCCTATTTATCCTGTTCCTATTTTGCATGTTCTTTCTCTACATGTATGTATGTACACATATATCTATATATGTATTATATATGTAATATAGATGTATATTAGTGCTTCTCTTATAAAAGAGTTCACACCATGTTTAGATTCTGTGTCTGTTTGACTTATTTCACTCAATGTTATGTTATGTTGCATTTATTCGCTTCCCTTCAGCTTATCTTCCTTTATGATAGTATAAGACTCCATTGTATTTAAATACCACATTTGTTGATGACATATATATTGTTTCCAAAATGTAACTATTACAAATTGTGCTGCTGCAGACATGGGTCTTCATGTATTACTGTAATATGATGCTTTTAATGTTATTCCTAGAAGATGGTATGACGCCTAAAAAAGGAATAGTTGGGTCAAGTGGAATTTCTAGCTGTAGTTTTTTGAGAATTCTCCACACTGATTTCCATAGTGATTGTATGAGTTGACATTCCCACCAATGATATAGAAAGTTCCTTTTCCCCCACAGCCTCACCAGCATTTACTATTAGACTTTTTGAGGATTGCTGTTTTCTGGGTAAAATGGAGTCTCAGTATAGTTTTAATTTGCATTTCTTTGATGGCCAGAGATGTTGAATTTTTTTATGTATTTGTTGGTCTATTTCACTTCTTCTGAGAAGTGTCTCTTCCTTTCAGTTGCCCATTTTTTCACTGGGCCTTTTATTTTGGGGAGTTCTAGTTTTTTTTAGTTCTTCATATGTTTTCAGTGCTAATTCTCAGTCCCAGCAGTGGCTGATAAAATTTTCTTTTCCCCCAGCACAGTTTATCATCTCTTCACTCTGTTTTGTTTCCTTTGCTGGGCAGAGCTTTTTAATTTGATGTAATCCTACTTGTGATTCTTGGTACTATTTCTTGTGCCCTTGGGGTTCTTCTTCTGAGAGTTCTAGCCTATGCCTATGTCTTCTAGAGTCGAACCTGTTTTCTTTTCCAGCAGATTTGGTGTTTCTGTTCTGCCGTTTAGATCCTTGATCCACTTTGATTGAGTTCAGTCCATGGTGAGATAGGGGTCTAACTCAGTCTTGTAGAAACATAGTTTTGAGACAAAAGCCTGATGTCCCAAGAGAGTAGGGAACACTGGACTGAGCCTGAGGAGGGTTGCTGTCTGTTTGCAAATTCCCAAAAAGCTGGGACCCAAAGCAGCAGCTAACAGCTTCTCCTGCAGGCGCCCTGTCCTTTGATCCCTTGCTTGGGATGCTATGGCTAGCATTTGTGTGGACCTAGTGTTAGGCAAATGGTGGAAGTCAATAGAGATAGTAGTTTGTATTCACTCAGGTAATTATGCACATTCCTTAGTCTGCCTTTACCCCTCAATAAATGTGAGATGCTTCTGAGGCTCTGGGCTCACTTGGAGAGAGCCTAATCTCAGTGAGACCTCTGAAGCTACATTCATCAGGTCTTCTCGTCGTTTCTTTCGGCACCGACCTGTAACATACAACATAGTCTTCTGTGTGTGTGATATCCGATTTTCCCAGCACCATCTATTAAAGCAGGTGTCTTTCCTCCAGTGTGTGTTTCTGGCTCCTTTGTCTAATATTAAATAGATGAACGAGTCTGACCTTATTTCTGCTTCTTCCATTCCATTCTGTCAATCAGGTAAATTTGTGTTTGTTGAATTCTTGCCGAGTGCTCAGGGAGCAGCATTAGGGTGAAGGTGGAAAACAAATTCGGAGGACGAAGTGGCCACTGGTTTTAAGAAGAGGTGCTGCTGGCATGACTCTGTGAGACAGTCTCATTCTGAGAAAGCTTTCAGTTCACACCAGCCACTTAAGACACCCCAAGCGGAGTCCCCGCGTCAGGCGCTTTGTCCTTTGGTGTACATTCGGCTGCAAGAACCAGAAAACTTGACGGGCATAGTGCTGTGGAGTGGGAGAACCAGCTTGCTTGTCTGACGGGCGGAGGGCGAGTGGGCCCAGGCAAAGGCAGCTTCTCAGCAGGTCCCCCAGGCCCTGGGCCTCTCATGGCCTCCACGTTGGCCTCCTTAGATGGCCTGAACTGGTGAACCTGACCATTCCTGGTTGCAAAGAAAAGCTGGGAAAGTGGATACCTGTGCTGGGCTTTGGAGCCATGAGCGTAGGAGGGAGAAGGGGGTAAGGAAGAGCTGTTAGGTAATCGGCCAGGAGCGCCCTGGTGGAGTGCGAGCTGAGCACATTCACGCCCTGAAACATCTGCACGTCTCACGTGTAGGTATCATATATGTGTACTCACACATGTACATATCATATTCAGTCCTTAGAGGTGTAGCATTCAGATACATGCAAGGAGAGAACACATGCAACCCAAACCTGGGTGAAGCCACAAGGAGGGTAGAATAAAAATGGAAAACAATTATAAAATGATACGCCATCATGTCGGTTTTGGAAATGCAAAATTAAAACAATAATAATAAGGTATTATTTTTTAACAGTTAGACTAATAAAAATGCAAAGTTTGCTAATATCCAGTACTGAGTAATAACTAGGGAAACAGGAGGCCCCTGAAACTACCGGCAGACGTTCAAACTGGTGCCACTATTTCGGAGTGTCATTTAGTAATTTATCTGCATGTCCACCTGGTTTTGCTTCTAATTCTGCTTCTTAGTTTATGAGAAATGCTATCATTTTGCTGAAGGAATGCGTGGGGACAGTAACTAACACATTGTTTAGTCAGCAGAATATTGTGTGAGGGATAAAACCCACCAAAACTTCAAATAACCGCAGAATGTCCGAGGCTTGGCCAGTTATGTAGCCGCTCACGAGTCACATTTCTATGAATCAACACGCAAAATCCCAAAGCAATGCTTTGAGATATGAAGTGAAAAAGTTCAGATGTAGGTAAGACACTGTCACGTGACGTATTTAATCATGCAGCGAACGATAACCAGAGTGACACTGTAGGTGTACAATGTACAGATACGCACACATATAGGGATGCACCTTTGTAGGCTGTGTGTGAAATTACCACCGCGACACGCTCCCTTTGTAACATGAATGTGCACCAATAAAAGTGTATTTGAAGAGAAATGTTAGGAAAAGAACACAGCAAATCTGGAAGGGGGTAATGATGAGAAGGAGGGGATTTAAGTGGCTGCAAAGGCAGGGAGGACGGCCAGCACAAGTGACACGGTGCTTGGCGGTGGCGCAGTCATGGTTGGCAGTGGCGGCACCGCGGGAAGTAAACACAGGAAGAACGCAGCTCCGTGCGCGAGCCATGAGAGTCCTCGTGCTCGGGGACACGGAGTCTGTCAGAGTCACGTGGCCTCCTGACACCTGTCACCTCCGCTGCTCCCAAAGAGCAAGCTGTTGGCTTCCAGACTTCCACAGCAGCGAAGCTCGTGAGCTCTAGCAGCATCATTTCGTTCACAGTAGCTTTTCAGGTTGTCTGATATTTCAGCAAGCAATAATTTTTTCCACTTACTATAATGTTCCATGTTTGCTTCCAAAAATAGATTTACTTAATTATAACAGTCAATTAAGATACAGACACATGGTAGACCCGTACTAATCATATACACGAAGAATATATGCATATGTTTACTATTTTGTGTTTAGACCTGTCATATACCAACTACTACTAAGTAATAGCGTAGGTAGATATATAGCTATAAGACTGCTATTAAGCAATAACGTAGGTGGTACATTAACAGGTAAACATCTCGAGGGGAAATGCAAGCAACCGAAATTTCAGAAACACTGCTCTAATTGTCTGCATAAAGAATATTAAATTGTTATTTTCATGAGCTTTAAAACATTTGATTAAAGAATTTACCTTTAAACTTCTGGTATAAAACACATCATTTAGGCCAATAATATATATTATTCATGAGTAACAGTAGTCTAATATAAACACCAGATGAATAAATCCTATCATTTTTCAAAATTTAAGTGGATTTGGCATAGGAAGTTTTCTCAAACTATGAACTCATCTCCAGGGAGTGCTGGAGCTAGGAGGCAGATTTCCAGGTAAGGATCATTATGAACATACACGAGTTCACAATGTGTGGGCTTTATGTAGAATAATATGACATAATCCCATGTCAGTAAGACAAATGAGTGAAATGTACTGTTGTGAGACTTGTGTTGCAGCTAATGCGTAACATCTGTTTCCCAGGGTGGTCCGGGACTCCGTGGACCAAAAGGCCAGCAAGGTGAACAGGGTCCAAAGGTAATGTGCTCTCCTTCTGCCCCTGCCCTGCCCTGCCTCAGCATCTGTCCCTGTCCCTGTCGCTGGTCTCTCTCTCTCTCTCTCTCTCTCTCTCTCTCTCTCTCTCTCTCTCTCTCTTCATTTACCCTTATAATATAAAGCTCTTGCATTTTTAGGAAACTTGTGTCTAATCCTTTTACCTTATTTTGAAAGATTTGTGCTTTGGGATCAAAAAAAATATTAACAGCTGAATGAAAGTAAGATCTCTCGCCTGGAAGCGCGTGTCCGTGGTGTGTGGCTGGGCGCACGGCTGCTTCTGTCTGCGCTCCACGCTTCTCTTCCCTCCTCTCTGACCACGTGTGTCTGCAGAGGAGCCACGCAGACTCACGGCGCAGCACCAGTGCCTTCCGGGGAGTTTTCCATGTCTTCTGTTCTCACTGTCCAGAGCTGCCAATGGTGATGGGCCGGGTTGTGCACTGAGCAAGGGACCAGCCCGGAGGACAAGGCCAAGCCATGGCGAGACACATGTTTTTCCACTTTGCACAAAGGCATGCTAAGGACTGGCGGAAGCCCAGCTGCTGATTGAGTCCAGGCCTCGCCCTCGTCTTCTGCTTTGGCACTTCTTCTGCCTCTAGTGTCTGGACTTTCTGACCCCTTCCATCTGCCCTGAGGTTCACTGTCCTGCAGCTCAAGCCAGACCGTATCATTTCCTTTGAAAGCCTGCAGTCATGCGCTCTGTCTGGAGAACACGCCACTCCCATGGCATGGCATTCAAGGCCCTTTAAACTGCAATTCCCTGTCCCTTTCCCACGTGGCTGTCACTCCACGCACTCGGCTCCCAGTCCATGGGGTGTAGTTTGCTCCGTCCGTGTGGCTGCTCATTAAATTTGCATAGCACTTATTTATCAAGCAGAGAGCACTGTGGAACTTTTTGTTACACAATTGGAAACAGATGGCACAGGTAGGAGGGCATATAAGGAGAGAAAGAAGTCAGTGGAGAAAGGTGGAGGATCACAAGCCCAGTCCCAGCCAGTTCAAAGCTCAAGTCCTGGGAAGTCGCCTTCCTGGGCTGTGTTTGGGGTCGGACTTGGTAGAACTCCCAACTCCACCCTGAGTGCCACGTGTGCTTATGGGCCCCTCTGCTCACAGAAGGTGCCTGAGGCTCCCTGCCGTGGCAATGGTGAGCTCCAGGGAGCCTGTCCCTCCTCCCACCCCACCCTCCTGGGTGACAGCTCCGACCCTGGAGGCGGACTCTTCCGTAGGAGTTTGCTGACCCCACGGCTCACCCATGTCCCCACTTAGCCACTCCATGTGGTGGCTTGAAGGTGATGTTTAGAAAAAGTCTAGCTGAACGGAGGCTGGTGCCCTGCCTGCCGCTGCAGGCCCAGGTGTGCTGTGCTCCGGCAGCGCGCTGTGCTCCGGCAGCGCGCTGTGCTCCGGCAGCGCGCTGTGCTCCGGCAGCGCGCTGTGCTCCGGCAGCGC